GATCAATGTTATCAGCAAAACGTGACAATTGACAATTTGTAATTTAAAGCAGCTTTTGATAAATGTATATCTAAAATGGTATTTTATTTACGGACTGACGGTGACACGTTCTATTTTTACGGCATCTATTTGACACTTATCTCTCTAACGTCGCTTTACCTTTTAGTTTCGACTTTTAGTTCCGAGACTTTTGTTTCAATTTCATGCTACCTGGAGCAGATATGAAATGCAAAAAAGTCACAGAGGACTGTAACAAAATGTCTCTTTTCAACGGAGCTTTCTCGAGATAGCTGCGATCGTTAAATATTATAACTTGAGCTGCATATTTTAATCCTTTGTTTCTAAATACATTCAAAAACGCAAAGCTAAAAATTTACATGCACGAAATTTTTGTGCAGCATCTATATAACACTGTTAAATTTATAAGGTTAAATTGTACCCAATTTGAGTTATTTTTAACCATTTTTATAGGTCGCCACTGCTACTCAATATATTCTTAATTTAACTAAAATAATGCAGTTAAACAATTTAATTTAAAACAATATATCAAATTTAATTTATTATTTATTACTAAGTGCATTCGTTAATACGGACGTTATTTACTCTGAAACTAACCACAAAGTTAAAAATAATAAAACGTTATTTAATTCAAGAGATTTGGTTACCATTGCTCTTTGATATCTAACAGTAAAGCAACGAACAGAACTCGCAAAAATTAATATTAAATTTGTCGAGAATATTAATAGCTGCCTCTGCAAAATCGTGATTTTATCTCGCAACGTTGCATGTCCATGGAATTTTGCTGAAACGGAAATGAACATCCGTCAAAGTTTTGCTAAACACAGCACGTTGGGAGCGATGATTCCGTCAATCGATCGAGGGATAGCCTTGATGCACGGTAGAAAGTTACACTTACATTAGACAACTTGACATCAAGCCACTCGTAAGTATTGATCGACGCATCAAACGAACGACGCCATCAATCGTCGAATTTCATCATTTGTGATCGAATAATCGTTAAGGTGTTGACAAAGCAAACGCATGTGGACAATAAGCACGCACTGAGAGAAAAGCGTTTGGTATCTATGACTATTATTGTATGGTAAAATAATTATGGTTAGAAGCTCCAGTTTTATGGTTACTGCTACTATAATGTTAGTAATAATAACTATATAAGTTTTCTCAAACATAAAAAAATTGTACTATAAATTATGATAATTTCAAATATTAATATAGTAAAATATCAAAATATAAATGGTAAATAAAATAAATCTTTTTATTCAGTAAATACAATTGCAATCGTAGTGAATATAATCACATCCAGATCCACAGATCAACATAAATTTGGATTGTGAAGTTATTAAGTTAACATGCCATTCTATTAATATAAAAAAAATAATGACAGTTCCAGCAGCACTTTTCACAGTTTTACAGTTCTTCATCAAAATAAAAAAAAGTTCCGCATTTTTTTATGTTAAAAAATCAAAATGGAAAATATGACGTACTAATTTCGTGAATCTAGCACAACAATCCCCTCCAAAGTACAAGAAAAACTATTTCCACTTTTGATTACGGTTTCCGTTAATACTGCTCGAGTTGTATCAATATATGTAATTCGAAAATAAAATTCCAACAACCACCAATTTTAACAGACTTTAAAGACATCACGACACTTGGAAAAAACCAACAACCACCAATTTTAACATACTTTAAAGACATCACGACACTTGGAAAAAGTGTCGTGACGATACGAGCTGGACGAGGGCATTGACAACTTCGTTCGTTAAGTCGTCACTGATAGCCGATATCGCAAAGGGAGGAGCTTCAGAAGGTATCGTGAAGGTATTCGGACGAAATGCCAGGTAGACGAGTTCGATTTCGCGATACAAATCGGGTTAAGCCGAGCTAGATTGAAGCATCTCCGGGTGCGCGAGTGCATTTGTTACAGTCGGGTTACCAGGCTTTTGTCTCACTACCTTAATTAGACTTCGCATGCAATAAAAGTACGACTCGCGGAGATGGTATTACGTGGAGACATGGGCTCGAGGGCGCATGTCTAATTAGCGACGGTATGCCCTGTCGCGCGGCATAATCTCCATCGTCCTGGAAGACATATTATCACCGGCGGCTTTCGCGAACGAGGTACACGTGCAAGTACGCCCAGGCATGGGTGTCACGACCGTTAGAGTACGATAATATTTTAAAGAGAACACATGTGTGCTTTCGCAGGGAGCGTCCGGACGCCTGTCGTTCCTTCGTCATGTCGTCGCGGAGTCTCTGCGTAATCGGAGGATCGCGATTAAAACCAGAAATATAATACAATGTAAAGCCGGAAGCACATAGAAAAACGTAAGGCCGTAAGACGTAATCAGTAAGGAAATCGTAACATTGGATTCGCTATCGGCCTTACGGTCTCTACTGTGATTGGCCAATTCGCTTACTGATTACGTCTCTTACGGCCTTACGTTTTTCTATGTGCTCCCAACTTGAAGACATTAAAAAAACGTAAGGCAGTAAGACGTAAGCAGTAAGCAAATTGATTAATCACAGTAAAGAACTTTATACATATTAATAATAATAAAAAAGAAGGGCTATCAGCCAAACAATAACCTTTTAATGTTTGAAGAACAGTACAAACATATGTTTCGACGCCGATCGGATCATTATCAATGTAATAAAAATAATAATAAAATTTGAACAAGTGACATTCTTTAGCGGTTATAAGTAAAATATATAAAAATAAGGATATTGAAAAGATTAAAATAATTTACTGTCTATTAGTCGATAATCCATTGTATTAAAATAGTTTCCTGTCTCTTAATCGATAATCCTGATCGCGAAAGGTGGTGCAACTTATTTGAAATATTAATCATTTGCGGAAGTTTCTGTTACAAATCTTGTCCGGTGGAAATCGATTATAAGTTCTTAATGTAAGTCAAATTTAAGCTTTGCCAAGTCTTAGTACACTAGAACTTTATATGTTACTGCTTAAGCTTTTTTTTGCCATGGCCGTGGCACACTGCGGAAAAATTTAAGCAATAAGACGTAAACAGTAAAGCTAATGGCACATAGAAGAATATAAGTAGTAAGACGTAAACAATAAGGTATATAAATCAGCCAATAACGTACTAAAGTAGTAGCAAATCTAAAATATTGATTGACTTACTGGTTACATTTTTCCATATACCATAGCTTTTACCGAAGCCTTGACGCACATTTTTTTGCAATCCTTTGTTTCTAAATCTTTCCAAGAATGTGAGAAAGCTTACACATTCGATATTTTTCTAGCGTACGTGTAAAAAACAAACAAGTCTAGGAGGAAGAATCGTTTTTCAAGTCGACCAAGGAATCTCAAACAAAAAACACGGCAAAAAAGAACAAAGCATGCTCGATAGTCATTACGTACGTAATTATTTCGTTTTGCTTGTCATTCATTATATCGTAAGGTTCTCATGATTTCAAAACAGCGTTTTTTAAATGCAAAAAAAATTGCGATACGTGAAACTATATCATTCAAATATTTAAATATTGTCGAGTTGCAATTTTAAACATTAACCTATCCTTGCAATGTCTATTAACAGTCATTCAAATTGTTTCGATATTGAGACTGTGATAAGTTCCTAAATTATTAAACAAATATTATATTAATATATATATGTTGTGTATATATTTCTCTTCTGCGTAAAAACTGGAGCGTTTATAACAACCGCAATTAATTTTATAATAATCGTCATTACATTGTAATTAATTTCTAACATTCGCATTTTCATTGGTGGTATTTTCATTATAATAGTGATTACATTATGTAACATTCAATAAGTAATAATAATAATATATATTATGCAGTGTACATTTTTTAATAAATGATGTAATACGGTATAATAATAATAATACAATAAACGATATCGCTCATTTAATGTTGAAATAATGCTCGAAAATCAAAACTCTTTCAATAATGTCATTATTAAAATCAAAATTCTTCACGAATTTATATAATTAACACTTTTTTCAATAATTTTAGATGAGTTAAAGATTATTTCTTTAAAATTTTAATAAATATAAACCACATTTACATATCATAAAAAACATAAATTCATGTGAAATGAAACAATTAGTACAAGTCATATTACTAAAAGTATAAGCCACATTCGCATAAAACGAAGTGCGAAATGGAGCTTTATGATTCGCGCAAAGTAAAACGCGCTTTGATTGATATGACGTTTAAAAACACTTAAAAAAAATAAATATTACATATAAAATATTTTCGCGAAATACGATTGTCAGAAAACGATAAGCGACTTGCAAATAGCTCCAAGAACGTACCAACGGAACTAATCTCGTACTTTGACAGCCGCGAGTGTTTCGCGTTTGATATCCTATCCGGAGGCAGGCAAAACACAACAAGGAGACAGAGTGAGCCCCTTGTGCGTGATCATGAACTTGACTTGGTGCGTAAGAAACAGTTACTCACGAAGGTTATTCGATTCGCGCGGCTGTTTCCGAGTATTATTTCGAGCATTATCATCTATCACACGTGGACCTCTCCGTTCTAATTTCCCGTTAAGCGAAGCCAACGACAGAAGGCAACATCAAACGGGAAAAACGGAGCATCCTATTGTTTCCCTTGTGTCACTATCCTCTAAAACTTTTACAGTGAATCTCACTCTGAAGAAAGAAATCTCACTCTTGGGTTCGGTCCCACAAATGTAAAATTAACTTTAATCTCGATTCAATTTACTCCTCGTCCGTTTTCAATTTTAAAATTGGAAAAAGGGAACCGTTGTGGAACCGGATTTTAAAGATTGAAATTTGAGCGACTCTTTTTCAAGACTGGGAGGACTTAGTAATTTTCATCTCTCATTTCGAGATACACGATCGACTCCCTGGTTCAATTTTCACTCTCTAGAGTGAGATTCCAATGGAAGGAATTTAGAGAAGGAATTAGAAAAGGACACGGACGAAGATCACTGGACGTGGTAGTACAAAACTCATCGACTTACGTCAAGTGGGACCAGCTTTCGATCGATACGACGACTGTATGTGTGCAGGTCTTCTCTCTTTCTCCTACGTCCGCTGCTGGCCTCCCTCGCTGTCTCCCTTTGTTCCCTCGGCGTTAACGGGGCCTCGGTGGAGAAAACATCGGTGCACACAAGAGGCGAGGATCGCGATGCGCGAAGGAAAGCAAAAAACCCGACTTAGCCTCGCGCTTTGCGGCCCGAATGCACAGAACAGAAGATTACAAACGAGAGAACACAGAGCACGGCATAATACACTCGCCTCCCCCCCGAGAGCGTGTCGCGTCACCACAGCTGGTACAGTCGCGTCTCGTAGAACAGCTCGATGTCGTCGCTCTTCGTCGAACGTTACGAAGCGAGCGAGAGATACAACGCGAGGGCGGGCGGGGGCGCGCGCGCGCGCGCGCGAACGCGCGACGGAGGGAGAGAGATGCGTATATACGGCCGGTCGACTTCCGCCGAAGTCGCGGTTGGCTAGCCTTGCTCGTCGCTAGAAACGACGCGACATCGCGAGAAAAAGAAGTAGGCGATCGCGGCAGCGAACGATTTTTCTCTCTTCTTTCCTCCCGGCGGGAGTCTCGCTTACGAACTGCCGAGTCGAAAGGAGCCGCTTTTGTTTCGAGAAAAGCGGAGAGCTAACCGAACACCTCGTCACCTCCACAGCAGACACCGCGGGACTGAACTGAAGTGAGGCGCCGGCGTGCTTCCCCCTCCCTTCCGCGATGCCGCTCCTATCCCCACTCCGGCGGCGCCCCCTTCCCCCCCCGCCAGGCCAGCCGAGTGCTCCAGCGCTCGTGTATCTTCGTGGCCTCTCGCTCATCTCGCCTCGCCTAAACTACCACGTCTCTGTTTCCGCCGCGATGCTCAATCTCTCTCGTTCACTCGCGCTTTTCGTTCGTTCTCGTCCTCCTTCTCTTTCTACTTTCCATCTTTTGCCCCCTTCATTCTGTGCTCCCCTCACGGGAAACTGCGGGGTTTCTCTCCTACCTTCGCCGAGGGACTCACCTGTCGTTCGTTCGGTGCGCTCCGGTTAAAGAGCCTCTTCGTCCTTTTCTTCTTTGTTCCTTCTTCTCATCTACTTTTTTTCTTTTTTTTACCTCTTATATTACGTCTCTTCGATCCTTCTCCTCTCGTAATCGTCTTCTGTGTACCGCTTCGCTTTTCTCCTCTTCGCGATTCTTCCTGCGATTCTCTTCGCTTTACCACCTCCTGCGTCTACATCGTTTTATCCCATCGTAACGCTTACGTGTAATGACGCTTCTCGAGTTCTGTACATATACACGCATTATAATCCTTTTTCTTCCTCTCCGATATCTTTTTTGGTAAAATTGTTTACCTCGGATTTATGCGCGACAAGTTCAGAGTACAATTGTTGCGTGTAGTCGGAACGTTGCGTGGTGTATGTATAATTATACATATTTTAGAAATGTATTAAATTAAAATATGAATATATTAATATATACAAATGCTATAATTACAATTATTAATATATAAACGATATCCAGATATTTTATTCTTTATGGAACGGGAAAGCTACTATAATGATGCTGAAACAGTGTCATATTTTGAGATAAGGAATACAATGGAACAATGAATTATAACTACGGTGACCATATTTTCTTAGAGAAAAATAAAGGACAAAACCTAAAAATTTTAGAACTTTATTCCAAACTAGTTTGTGACTGTCAGAAGTCACATTAATTTCTGAAATCTGCGCATTAATTTCTGAAATCTTTTTCTTGCATAATATATTTGACATAACTTCCACAAGTAAAGCCATTATAACGTCAAAATGACGCCAAAATAGCTGCAAATCCGATTAAAAGACATTTTTCAATCAATCACGACTTATTTTAATGTCATTTTGACATTATTATGGCTTTGTTTTTCTGCTTGAGCTAATATTGTCCTTGCATAAATAGTCTGTCGATATTTTCCGCAAAAATTCGCACATTACATTGGAACGCTAATTAGAAAGCAGTTTTCTAGAATGCTTTTGAAAGAAATTTATTAAATTTTTAATATCATATAAGAATACAAAATTGAATTTTGAGAAAACATAAATAATTCTAGATGTCAGCTACCTGAAATAAAAGACTGTCCTTTACAATAAAGAACGTATGGTCACCGAAATTACAACAAATCTACTTAAAAACGGAAAAGTTATAAGATTTTAAAAATAGACCTCCAGTCCACATCCAAAGATTAACAAAAATATTTTATCGATAAACTAGAAGCCTATACCGGCTGAAGCTGGATCTTTAATGCTTTTAAATAATTTCTATGTGAATTTATATACTAAATTTATGTAGTTATTTGAACTGCGCGTCGAAATGATTTTTCGAACTTATAAACGCAATCAAACTACTATAGTAATATCACAAATTAAATTGATAAGCAATTTAATAATTTGATGCTCAATCTGGCATCCTATTAGAAAGATGTTAATGTACTGAAAGACTGTAAATAAATTTATTACGAAAACTATTACATCGGGAGTCGAACCCCGAAAAAATATTTTAGACATTTTACTTCATTTATTAATTTATCACAATTTGTATTGATCTGAAATCACGATTAATTATAAATTAGAATATTTATATCTTTCTGTGCACGTCCACGGTCTGTAGGGGACATCGACGGCGACACACGTGTGTATATTTTAAGGTACGAAGGTTCGTGTGGGTGTTCGTGCGTCAAAATAACCGCTGTTCGTAATAATGTCACTGCGTGTTCATTCTCTTACGTAAGTCTCGGCGTTGTTAAAAATTATGATAGGCGGTTAAAAGACGTAAAGGTATGAGAATCCGGAGGCGAAACGCTCGCCCGCGGCTAAATCATTCAGGGGAATTTCAATCTGTTTCCAGAGCGTTTCTTCGCCGTCGATTTTGCCTTTCCTCACCATCGCTCGAACGCGATTCGAGCGATACATCTGGAACTCGTGAAGCATAAGAAGCAATCACGTAGACAAGCGGCCGAAGTTTCCGAGCCGCGTAAACGATTAGAGTTTACCTCCGAACCATCTTAAATTACAGCCAGTGGCGTCAGCGTGATATTGAAAATAACAATTCTATCATTTATTACTTTCAAATCGTTTTTTCAGTCATTTATTACTTGACGAACAACTATAGTTTCGTAATTATTCTCATTATTCTAATTCATTAATCCGTACTTAACTCCTCAAGAATTAAATGAGGATTGATGAATTAAAAATCTTAATAAAATTCTTCGAGTGCTGATGTTTACAAAACATCGCGACGTTTAATGTTCTATTCCATTTTAACGCACGACGAGAAGATTACTCAATGTGCAAAAGATACCCATAGGCAAAACGAAATTTATACACATAACCGTTCAACACGAATAAAAATATTATACAATTTGCCGTTACGACTTACGGCGCATTCGGTCAAAGTCACGCGGGCGGCGAGCGCGTCATCGCACATACGCATTCTTGCTTAACGAACATCTCCGATACGCACGCAATACTTTTATTAGGACAACGTTATATTCAACGTTTTGTATCTCTATTCCTTATTCCAAGATGTTACAATTCAACACTAAATCTATAGTGTCACAAATTTAACCTAACGTGAGTCGCCATTGCTTCTACTAAATATATCATTATTTTTTACCAAAACGATAGTTAAATTTGACACTATATTGTGTCAATTTGACACTACATGGTATCAAATTGACATTGTATAGTGTCAAATATAACCATTGTTTTAGTATAAAACAGTGTTGAGTAGTAACTAGTTAAAAGTTAAAAAAACAGTTAAAAACTTTTAACTGTTATAAGTTAATAACTTTTAACTTAACTTAATTAATTTTAAATGCATTAAATTTTAATTTAATTAAGTCACTTTTAAACGTTAGGTTTTTAACTTTTTTTAAGTTAAAAATTTTGTTATCTCTTTTAAATGCCTTAGAAAAATAATAAAATATAATAAGACTAAGGGCGTATATTCGTAATCCGTTCATATTTTAAGATCATCTTAAGTAATTTCTTAAAATGTGTGTGTGCTAATACAGCCCTCTAATTGGTTTATGCCTTATGCCTTAAGCCTTAGTCTGGATCTACAATAGGTATTTTAAGCCTTAAGTCATAAGAAATTGACGAATTACAATCGAATGCGAGGAGAAGATTGTAATTGATCCATTTTTATGGCTTAAGGTTTATTAAAAAGTAAAAACCTAAAAAGTTATGTTATATCATATGTGAATAAAAAAATTAAAAATTTAATTTACTTAATAATCTATATTGCAGTTGTTATTTAATCTCATTTTAAGAAAAATTAGGACATTTTGACCTCAAAAATAATTTGTTTCGAAACTAACTTTTTTTTTAGCTTAAGTTAATTCAATATTAACTTAACTTCCGTTAAGTTAATTTTTTATTCCTTCAACTTTTAACTTAACTTTATTAATTTTGTAAAGCCATTAACTTTAACTTTATTCAGTTAAAAAAAACATTAACTTATCCAACCCTGATATATAAAATAACGATATGATTGAGTAGGAGCAGTGACGACTCACGTTAAGTTAAATTTGACGCTATGGATTTAATAGTGAACCTTATATATAGAGATTTATAGACTTTAATTTCTTTATCGTGTTCCGTTGTAAATATAATAAGCATCTTGTCGATAATTTACTCGATTCTCTCCATAGAAACGGCAATAATTTAATAATGTTTCTGAATATTATAATACTATATCATAATAATTTGACTCATCTTCATTGACAATACATCGAAACGTTTGTGATTGAGTGACAGATATTTTTCATAAATTTTTTCCTGCTTTTAATTCGTATATTTGTCATCACGATTACTTTATGAAGGTAGAAATAGAAATATGGAATTAAGTTTATATCATAGAATTTTGAAAAACTAATTAATTAGTGTTTGCATAATTATTACCATATTTGTGTAAATAGATCTCGCTATCACTGCAATTCTTGCGCATATTTTTAAATAAATTCATCAAAATAATATCATGGATATACGTAATGAATTTTATTATCGTGGATCGATATAATGCGCGGAAAAAATAGTTTTATTGAAATATTTTTTGTAGCTAGACACAAATCTAAAAATAATTTTATTGGACCGTCAAAATAATTACGTAGGACGCTTAAGCTTGTTACTAGAATGTCAAAACTTTTATAAGATGCTCATCATATTCGAGTGTCATATGTAATTATTTTGATGATTAACAAAATCATTATATTGAATTTTAGATCTATATATAATTAACTGAATTTTAAAACACATCAAAATCGTTTTTCCGCGTGGATTCTCTTCGCGAGTGCACGTGTGCGTGTATGTGTAAAATAATATTACTTACAATGGACATTCACAACCCCTTAACTAAATTTACTAATTTCGTTTGCGATAAGTGCTTGTTAATGCAATTATTAAACTTATTAAATTGTTAAAGTTGTTCAAATCCCGCGAATTTCATGTCGCGAGTGTATCATGAGTGAAACAAAGTGATATGCAATCAACGCGGATGATGCAGATTGAGATGCTTCTGATTCATTCTCGAATATTGTTGTAAATAGAATCGCAACGGAAGATAGACTGGTGAATGCGCGTCGAGGGACGTCGCAATATCGTGAGTACTGCATGTCAATTAATTTCACACAAATTAATTTGTTTT